CAGTGCTGTGCAAGGGGAAATAGGCTGTGGAGCCAGCCCTACAGTCACTCCTGGTTCACAGAGGGAGAGATTGCACTGAGGCCTGGGAGGCCAATTGCCACCCAGCTTCCCCTGTGGACCTGGCTCCCCTGAAGGGCACAGAGTGTAAAGCTGCATCGGGAGAAGGCTTTCCAAGATCACATCTGCCAGGATGGATTCCATGCTGTGGCCGAAAGTAGCACGTTTTCCAGCAGTGGCTCAAGATATATTGCTACGTCTAACCCCTTTTGGGGATGCTTCACATTTTGTCTGGCTAATTTGACCATTACCTTCCCTCCTTCAGCTTTTATCAGCAGCCTGTCTGTAGTTTATGACTCAGTGCTTGAGACAGAATTCCCAGCACAGCTGAACAATGCCTCCAGCCAGTGTCTGTTGGGGGGCAGTTATCTTTTTACTGATACCACATTTTTAGCTGAAACTTCAGGCCTGGTGTATGTTATATTCTAGAAAGGGGGAAAAGGACAAGATAATTTCCGCATTGCCGGTCCTATAGCCTCATTGCCTAAGAGGTCTTGTGGGTGGTGTTCCTTTGAACAAGCAACTTATTATTTGCTGGGGGAAGCGGTGGGAAAGTGGGAAAGGGAAGTCCCGGGTGTTGCCTAAGAACACATGGGCACCTTGGGAATACTTCCGGATGTGTGGGCTTCTGAAAAGTGAATGGGAATGCCACCATAAATCTGCCACCCACCCGCGTGCTGGTGTTACCAAATCTAGGGAAACATTCGAGCTAGTAAATGGCCAATGACAGAAAAACAAAACAAGAATAAGAAAAAAGAAAAAAGGGAGCAAGGGAGGGAGGGAACAGGAAGGGTGTGAGGGAGAGGAGAGAGGAGGAAGGAAGGAGATAATTTAGGTGGAGGGGCAGTGGCAGAGTAGAAAAAGCAGGGCTCTCTACCCAACTTGGGTGCCAAACCCAAGATGAGATCACGCCTCTATGTGCCCATGACCTCGGGCAAGTTAAGACATTACTGCTGGTCCTGTCAGCCCCTTCATCTGGAATGAGACCTCATGTTGGCCTTGCACAAAGGTGATGAAACAAGGCATCCAGGCGCATGGGTGGTCACAAAATGGTGGTTGTTGCTGATGCCCCTGCCCCGTCCCCTACAAACAGACACCCACTGAGGGAAGCAATGGTCAGTGGGCACCATATGCATCAGCTCGCTAGGCACTGGGCTAAACCTCACAGTATCTCATGACAATCATTTTAGTCCAGATTCTAGGTGGCAATCAACAGGAACTAACTTGGGCTAACTTAACCAAACATACAATATCTAGTCAAAGACTCTTGGATTCTTCTGGAAGACTCTCTGAGAAGGCCTAACAGCCTGGCTTACATGTTCTGAGTCCAATTCCAAGTCCAAGATGAGTCCCCAGGACAAGTCTTCTGAAGTCACCTCAGAATGGGCTCGCTCGGCACCAATGCTACCTGCTGTTAGCATGCTCCCACCATCCTGATCAAGATGGCTTCTGCGGGGTGCTTGTGTCCTATCACTACTACCTTCTGAGTCAGTCCTGGGTTGCTGTGTCTGAGTAGGGGGCAGAGGGAGACTATAGAGCTTATACCCACACTCAGCTACAAAAGGGACTAAGGGAAAGAAATGTTTGGATTTCAACTTCCATAGTTGGGATGGGGCTCTATCTCATTCATATTATAACAATGACAGTCATTTCCTAAATCTAGGAGAGTTAGATCATAAGTGAGGGCTCTATCTCATTCATATTATAACAATGACAGTCATATCCTAAATTTAGGAAAGTTAGATCATAAGTGTCCAAATATATTGTAATAGCTTCCACAACAGAATCTCGACACATTGATCATTTTCTGGATGGGAACGCTGAAGCTTGGTCAAAGGTACACGTCTAAACTATGATAAGAAACCAAGTCATTTTCACTCAAGCCTATTCTCTCAGTCACTATCTTGACCACTACCTTGACAAATGTAATGATGAGGACAATGTCTAGCTCAGCAGACACCACCCCCCTCCTCCCCGCCACACACACAGTCCAGTCCCATTCCTCTGACATCTAAAGGTGAGATATGTTGGGAGCCGGGGTCACTGGCTATTCTTCAGATATTCTGTTTATGGAAATGTGTTTCTAGACTTCAGTTCATGCTGCTCCTGGGAGCTGGGTTCTCTGGACAGACTCCTTTCTTCCTGGAATGCCCCATGTCTCCGTGAATATCTACAGCTGAGGTAGGGGCAAAGCAGAGTTGCTTCTCCTAAACCATAGTCATGAACATGGAAACTAGAGACCCTCCCCCTGGACACTGTCCACACGCACACTATGTGGCTTTCCATTCCACTCATTTGGTACATGAGCTGTGCTATACCGGTGAGTCCTCCAGACCAAGGGCTATTTCACCCCACTCCTGATCCCATGGGCAGCTTACTTACCACAGTGAGTAGATTCAGCCTTTCTAAGTTTCAGTCCCGGCTCTCTCACTTATGTAGGTCACCTCCCCCATACCTCAGTGTCCTCTTTTGTGAAGCCAGAACAATTAAAGTCTTGTATGAGAATGGATACTTATGAATGTGCTCTGCAGATACTAGATACTCTATCAATATCATCAGCAGCAGAGTTCTTAGCCTCTAGTAGCAAGTACCAGAATATAGGGAGATTCCAGACAGGTCCACATCTCATCTGGTCGATAGCTCCTCATCTTCACCCCTTCCCTCTCAAAACCTCAATTAATGCCCCTGGAAAATTGCTGGTCTAGTCTCAGACAGTAACTTTGGCTGATGCATAGAAGACCCAGGGAGGCGAGGTGAGCCAGGGCTGGGCCAGCCAGCCAGTGCCTTTTAACAGAGAGTTCCCACCAGTTTTAACTCCCAGTTCCCACCACTGTGTGCTTCAAATTCAGTTCTGTCTCTAAGAAATGGTGATTTATATCCTTATATTCACCTCCTCTCTGCTGGCCCCAATAACCAAGATTGTAAATCTATGAACCAGGCTCAACCAGTACCTGGAAGGGTCAGACAGTAAATGGCTTAAGAGTCTTTGAAACATATGGTGTTTTTGTAGCCATTTATTTTTGTTCATAGCACAAAAATAGACACAGAATATGTGTGCACTGCCTTCCAGTAAGAGAACTGACAAACTGGACACCTGGCCAGTTCTGGCCTACAGACCAGTCTGCAGACCCCTTCATGGATGGTGCTCTTCTACTACCTGGTTTCTGCTTGTTATTAGTGCTAAAGCAACAGAGAACATGCAACACTCAAGTTCCAATCAACTTCATACCACCCCACCCTACCTTCACCACATCCCACCTTCTTCACAGAAGTACTTCAGTTACATGCCACTTAATGGGAATAAAATAAGCATATTTTTCAGCATGATCTGGGAGTAATGTTGGGGGGTCGTATGGATGGTGGCAAAGGTATGGATTTGGTTCAGGCAGATTTGGTTCAGAAATCACACAACAGAGGGGCAGGAAAGACTTGGAGACTACTTAACACAATTCTTTCAATCTACAGGAGGTAAACTGAAGCCCAGATAAGGAAGGCAACTTGGCCAGCTTTATAGCAAGTTCTCAGATAGCCTGAAGCAGACAGAGCCCAGTTTTCTTCATTTCAGTCTCCTTCTGCCCAAATACTTGTCTAATATCAAGTTTTTACCATGCACCAGACTCAAATCAAATGGATGGGGGGGGGGGTGTGCGGGGTAGGGGGAGACCCTTTATTTTACATTTAAAACCCCAAGAGCCTGCCTGCAAATGTCCCTGCCCTTGTCCTGTCTCTGTTTCTTCCTGCCCACTGTACACGGGTGAGTGACACTTTTGCTCCTCCTACAGGGCCCTCACTCAGTGCCAAGGAGCTAATAGGTGCTCAATAAATACGTGTTGAGAATAATAGAAGGCTTTTATCCTTACAGAACTCACAACCCACTGACAGAAGGAAGGGCTAAACATACCCTGTAATTCACTGCAAATGTGAGGACCCGATGACATTTCCTCCCCTTGGCGCTGGAAAACTGCCTTTCAGTGAGAAATCTTCCCACCAAGGTTTTCATCTCCCCTGCCCTCTTCCCTCTTCAGAAGGAGCACCTCTGTCTTTTGTACTTGCAAATGAATTGTGATTAGTTTTCACCTCCAGCCCAGGGGATTAGCTGGGGGACCTTTGATCTTCAGGTATCGATTTGCATCTTAAAGGAAGTATGAGCTCATCGGGGCCAGCTCAAAATTCCATCCCTGCCTCCCACCCCTGTCTGTTTACCAGCCTCAGGCTGGTGAGGGCCTCCCAAGTGGGGCTGAAACAACACGATCAACCAGACTCCCAGAGAGGGCAGAGGAAAACAAATTTCCCATCTGACTCAGTAAAGGTGGGGAAAAAAAGTTTGTTTTCCAAACACAGACTGGTCGGCAATCCCATCTCCGTCAAGCCAGAGACACTGGCCCAGGTCATGCATGTGCAGAGCTGGGACTAGGGTGGTGCTTGGGTTCAGGGACCCAGCAAGTAGTGCATAGCAAAATGACCTGAGCGTGTGAGCTTGAGAATCAGTCAAATCAGGTTCAAGTCCTGGTTCTGTCTTCAGTCCCTTCTAAACTGTGTGATTCTGGACAAGTTTTATAACATCACTGGCTTTTTATTTTTCTCATCTCTAAAATATGAATACAAGTCTTAAAAATTGACAGAATAACCGCCCTGGACAGCTGGCATGAAGAAGACTGATGATGTCTATAAGGCAACAGTAGGCCCAGAGGAGTGACTAGTCATCGGCCATGGGCTATGAGAAAATAATCTCCCTGAGGGTGAGGGTAACTGTCTTCGGTGCAGGTGTTCTCCCCTCCAATTTCCCTGTGCTCTCTGGTACCTAAACAAGTACCTAACCCATTGGAGGCACTCAAAGACAAGTTGTAATACAAAGGAGCAGCTGTTGCCATTGTCTAGTAATTGACTAATTATTTTACACTGTCCACTTCTCCAAGGAGACAAGACCAATGACAGAGACTTACCAATGCAATTGAAGGAAACTTCCTGTCTGCAGAAAAGGGAGCAGCCATCACCATTGACCTTATTCATGTCATCGCATTCTTCACCTTGGCTTCTGCATAAAGAATACAGGAGGAAAATCTGTCAGATGTGCTTTAGAAGAGTGGTGGGTGGATGTGGAAAAAAGGTCCCCCACTATTTTGGGACCTGGAGCAAGTCCTTTCCCTGCATAAGGCTCTGTCTCTTCATCTTAGAAGTGAGTTGTGTAAATGGTATAAATGGTATGGATTTGTAAGCTCTGGTAACATTTGCCTGACTTTATTTCTGAAGACGAAGTCAAATTTCTGCTTCACATGCTTTCTTTGAGATGTGGGGAGTTATGGGGCGAGTCAGAGTAAGAAATGGAAGAACTTGTGAGCAGTTCTTCTAGCACTGTGTCTGGGAAATCTCATGACCATTTAGCAATGAAGGAAAAACTAGCACCCCTAAAATATAAATGCTGTTCTTCACTTTACTGTGTCCTGCCTCAACCTTCCCCCTTTCATCTTACACACTTAAGAGCAAAGATTTCTTCTATCTACATGTTCAGGCTTAGCCCTTCTTGAAGTTTTTCTTTCTTGGTTGGGTTTGTCCCAACAGTGGGTTGTTCATGGTGTCAAGAATTGCAGAGACTGTGGAATCATGCTGCTATGAAATAAAAATGCCCCCCCCCACCCTGCTTCCTTAAGTGATTTCTATCACATGAGGATGATTCTGCAGCCATTAGGATGAGTAGAAGAGGAACACTGTTCTCTGAATTGGACCAACATGAGCACAAATTGTAGTAAAGAATGGAGGGGTTGCTGTTTCTTGGAAATTCCCAGGCTTTTAGAAAAGAAAACTTGGGTGAGAGCCCCGTGTTCCTAACTCTTTGTGAGATCTTGGATACATCACTGAATGTCTCTATCTGACCTTTCTATCTATTTGTCTCAATTAACATTAAGTATAATTAAATGTTTCTTTCCTGAGTCACACATTTCAGGCATTAAGGAGCCAGATGTAGCTCGTGGCTACTACATTGGACAGCACAAAACACATTTCTAGCATTGCAGAAAAAAATCCTCTGGGCAATGGGAGCCTTAAGTTTCTCACAAGTTGCAACAGGACTCTTCTGCCTACTTAGAATTGGTGTGAGAATGGAATGTAAGTTAAAGAGACAGAAGCACACAGTAGGCAGTCATAAAAGCACAGTTGGCCCCCACCTCATTCTGGGAGAGCCAGCTGCCCCTCCCTCTCCAGAGACCAGCTGGGATGGGTCACAGCATGGAAGAGGCCTCAGACTTTTCCTTTTGCCCAAGCAATTAACACTGGGAAATGTTTGTTGCTCTTAGGAGGTGTCAGAGTAAGGACAGCATCTTAAAATCAATCCCGAGATGGCTAGGACATCTCATTGATCTCAGAGGGCCATCCACGTTCTCTCTGTCTACAAACCTATTAGCAAAGAGGAATCCCATATTCTGGGCTGGGCCTGGCAGTCTCTGCTGGTGAAGCCTGCAGCCTGAACATTGGTGATGGCCTTGTGCTGCTCAGCTAACCCATGGGTTATCTGGGGAGAGTTTTTTTTTTTTTTTTTTTTTTAACCTGGGCTGGTTTCCCTAAACCACAAAGAACACTTCTAACCCGCCTTCCCTCACCACCCAAACACTATGTTCTATTGGTTTAAGCAAAACATTAGGGTCACCACAAATATCTTCTAGGAATGACAGATCAGAGAGAGGTTCTGAGAAACCTTCTTTGACCTCCCGGCTGGAGTGGTGGCCATCTTCTCTGTGTCTGCATTTTTTCCAGCACTTGTCAAGCTGACTATTGTGTCTATGACATGAGAGCCCCCAGACTGGGCTTTAAGATGTTCCCAGGACATTTCCTGGGAACAGGAATGACAGGGCTACTACCTGAGTACCCCAGTGCCTGGCAGGGCCCTGCATCTAGCAGACAGCATGCAGCCGCTCCTTCTTGGGTGATTTGGCCAAAGCACAGCGAGCAAAGGGTTACTGGAGGAGACATGAGCACTGGGTGCCCATCTCAGTCCTGCCCCAAGCAGGGTGTGTGAGCTGGTGAAAAATACATTCATCTTTGTGTGCCTCTTATCTCTTTTAGGGCCTACCTCATAAGCTGGAAGGAGATAATTAAAAAAAATAATAATGTAATAGTTTATTTTTACATCATTTTGTGCCTTTTTCCATCTCAGTTGTACTTCCCATGGGCTTCCCATCAACAAATCACCCTGTGCCATCATCATAGTCCAGTACATTTTCCCCCACCCCCACTGTTTCTGATCCCATTCACCACTCCACCCCCGTAAAATGTCTCTGATGTATAGCTGTTCATTATTATTATTATTTTCTCGCCCAGTCCGTTATACTCCTCCTATGAGTGAAACCATCGGTATTTTGGGAAGGAGATAATCTTGATGTACAGTAACCAAGGTTATTTTTGAGGCTCAAAAATAGCTAAAAATATTATTATCGAGCCCTCCCTGGTGGCACAGTGGGTTAAAGCACAGCACTGAGAAACTAAAGCCACTTCCAGATGAGTTCGTGCCCCTGAGGTGACCACATGGCGTGGCAGACCTCTCCTGGCCTGCCCGCTGCTCCCCTCAGCAGTGTACTTCATCAATCTGCCTGTTCTGCTCCCCACTCTGTCTCTGGTGAAGCCTCTCACCACCCCTGAGCCTCTGGCCTATACCCCATTTCTATATATATATATAAAAAAAAATTATCAGTATCCTAATAAGACACTGTGAATTATGTATGACTGAAGGCTCATCCCTCAGGGATCTCCTTGATTATTGAGTAGCGAGTAAATTTCTTACATACAAACTCAAAATCTGTATCATTATCCCATCGCCAATCCAATTAGCTGTCATGCTGTGCCTTCTTTTCTTCAACATATTTCTTTCCCTCCATCCCCTTTGTTTAGGGAACCATCTGTAAGTTTCATTTGGTTTCTACAGAACAGCCAACAAGTATCTGGTACCTAGAGGTAACTCCATGAAAATTTGATGTCCACACAGGACACCAGAGCTGGGTAAATTTTACAGAATACTATCTAAGGTGACATTGCCACTGCTGATGGTAATGGCCACAGATCAGTGAGAAGAATGACTGCAGGGTTTTACCAGTATATCTCTGTCTGGCCCTGAGGTAGGCCCAATGGGTCATACATCGGATTCCACATCTAGTGAATTCCTTCTTTTATTCTTTGTACTAAATTAGAAAGTCCCAGATCCCAATTATGGGTTGTCAGTGATGACCGCAAGTATTTCCTGGATGTTCTGATGTGCAGCTCAATCACAGACCCACAAATGAAGGGGCACTGTCCCCGGGGATCGCCTTGTTCTGTTGTTCCCTGTTCCATCAGACACCAGTGGCATCGGAAGCTAGCAGTTGATGTCTTTATGTGGGAGATAAGAGAGAAGCATGAGGCAATGGAAGGCGTGTTTTCATATCTGGCTGCTACATTAGGAGGCAGGTCCTCATATACACATGAGCACATCATCCATTTCACTCCCTGACCAATGAAGAGCATTAACTTCTATATTTGGGAGTCAAATTCTTGACTGATAGTCAATAACCAAACTGAGAAATCTTAATGTTAATTTTGCAATATTAACATTAACAGTTTGGCTTGAAATTATAGATGCAGGATGTTTAAGGTAAGAATCTCTCAGAGCATTTCAGAAGGCCCCTGAGCCTGCACAATTGTCATCCCTGGCCTTATCAGCATTAATATTAAAAACAATGTAAATCCCTATTTCGAAAACATGAACGGATACTTTCTTGTCACAGCAGGTATACTTGAACGTCTGTGTGGAGAGGAGCAAACTCTTAAACGCACTACTAACTTTTTGCCCAGCCATTTGTAGAGATGTAACCTAGCGGCCCTCAGTGATGGTATTGACAGCATCCACAATTTTCTCCAGTGCTAAGCCAGCATCAGTAAGAGCACCCCTGCGGATCCACACCTTTGTCCAGCGAATGTGTGTCCAGGAGCAAGCTGTTCTTACTTCCACACCTCAGAGTCGTGGCTACCAAACTAGCCTGCTCTTCCTCTCCAGCAGCGATGTTCACAAGAAGCAGAGAAAAATAGTCACAAAGTGCTTTTCTTTCACATCTGCATCTGCGGGCTGATTCCTGTTCTGTGCATCCCTGGTCTCATCCAACTGTGAAACAAATGCTCCCTACATTACTCCTCCCCTTGCAGGCCCAGCCCTGGAGTTTCCATACTTCACAGATAGGGCCTGACACCCAACCATGCCACTTAAAGCAGGGATTTGGCAAACTGCTTTGCTGTCTCCACACATAATGTCTATCATCAAACCTGACAATGATTTTCGTGGTTTCTTGGCCATAGCGTGACTTGTAGCTATGTTACAAAAAGGAATATAATTTCAGCAATAAGAAACTTAGCTGTGAATAACTTTGGCTTCTTCTTTACCTCGAGGGACAAACATTTGGATTTTGTGCCAGAAAGCATTTTTGTGCTTATTCTGAAGAAGAGGAAAAAATTCCAAAGTTTACTTTCTTTTTTTCTTTCTTTTTTTTTTTTTAAACAATGCAGAAGTCTCAATGGCTTCTTGCCCCTACTTGGCAGCTGCATAGCATCTGCCCTGTAGACAAGGGATGAATGGACCGATGTGCAATAAAATCCATTATTTTAGACATACAGCTTTCTATTTTCTGATCACACTTTTTTTTTTTTTTTTTTTTTGGCTGCTCATGTGGAATCTTTACACTTACTGGCTCATTTACTTCTTTGTACTCATATTCACATTCAATATTTACTCCAGAGTACTGTTTACTACTTATGGTTTCCACATTATAGTGAGCTAGCATACGTTGCTATTTTTATGGATCTTTGACCCATTTTGTAAACAGCTGAGAGAACATGATACAGTTACGATCACAAATACATATACACTTTTAACGAATATAAGTGGCCACCGGCAAAGACTGTACAAAAGTGTTCTGACCTAGATGCACTGTGTCCTGTTAACTGAATGTGGACCGTGATGGAAAAGACTAATAGAACTGCAAGCTCACTCGTACACACTCATAAAACTATTAAGAACAAAAGCATTCTGGCAGGAAGTGTAGCATGGTAACTCTGTCCAAGTCACATATTACAATACATACTTGAAAAATGTATGTGTTCCCAACACAATTATTGTTCTGCTTCTGGAGCTAGCCAGCTGTCTGCAGACCAACAGACAGACTGCTTGGCGTCCCCAGTAAGTCAATCCACACACTAAACTCTTCAATGTGGCATTCTGACCACCACCTGTCCCAAGTGTCCCTCTTCATTCTTTGGTGAGAGTTACTTACTTCTGGATGATGCCATCACCACAGTACCCATTTCCATGGATGTATATGGCGGCAGGTGACGGCTCACTCTCTTCATTTCCTGCAATAGTGATGACCTGGTACTGGTACATACTGCCAAGAGTGAGATCCCTGAAAAACACAAAAAAGACTATAAGCTCTACAGACACAATGCTGGGGACAGACAAAGAGAGAGCAGAAAATCGATCCCTTTGAGTGCACTTCATCAATCTTGCTCATTTTTAAGCCTATTTGTATTATGGTGATGTTGGTTTTCATCACTACCTATATTTGAGGGTACAGGTTTATACCTCTTGCTGTAGGTTGTCACAGCACATCCACCAACAAAGCACCCATAAGTTTCCACCATTGTCTTTTGGCCTCCCTCCCTGTTGCACTTCCTACTCTCATCTTCCTTTAGAGAAACCCCAGTTCTCAGTCATGGTCATTTGAAACTACATCCATGATTATCAGCCAATAATTTCATAGTCCACACTACAGTACACTGCCAAGTATGATGAATTACACTGAAATGTATAGCAATAATAATTAATATCCATTGACAGGTAACCGTGTATAGTCTTTAGTACACTTTATCTTTAATTTGACCTTTAAAATAACCTTGGTAGTTAAGTATTAGATGACCATGTGGCCTGCCATGGAAGTGCTTGGAAGAATGTCACCAAGGAAAAATATACAAGATAAGCAAGGTCACAGAGGCAGGGGAGTACATACAGGATTCTCTGGGCATTATTAAGCTTATTGCTTCATTGGAGACCTGAGCAGAAATGCCATTACACACCAGCAAGCCCTTTTCTGATGTTACATCGCAAAGTGACTCTCTTTCTGTGCTATTATTCTTCCTGTGTCACTCACAAGAGTTATTATAGTCAAGAACTATAATAGTTATAGAAATAGCATCTGTTTACTGTGTCAGGCTTGGAAACAAGTACTTTCCATGTATCTTTTGTTTAAGGAGCAAAACAACCCTATGCATGTACCAGGATTTTCATATTTATTTTACAGATGAGGAACTGGAGGCATAGAGCCGTTAAACAACTGGCATAAAATCATATGCTATTAGGTTATACCCTCGATTCTGCCTCTTTGATCCCTATTTTAAATCTGTTTTAATAAACTTACCCCTTACAAAGTAGGTTTTCATCCTGGAATTGCAATCCCAGATGTTGGTTCCTACCAAATTTCCAACTTGCCTCAAATGGCTCTTTCCTGTTCTCTTAGGATCTCCTAAAGCAGTTCCACATTCAATCACACACCAATTACTTTCCTCCTCGGAGTTATTCTCTCTCTACTCCCTTCTTGGGCTCATCCTACCATCAAATGAACCTGGATATTGCCAATTATCCTCCAAGGCAAGGACATATTTATGTCATTTGCACATGTCCAAATCACCAACCCCATTTCCATTTTGACTATTTTCAAGGCTGATGTTATTCCTTTTCATCTCCCTCTATACATTACTTCCTTTCTTAATAAGAAAAAACTGCCATGGGAAAAAACACAAAATGATAATGAGAATTCCTATCAGATTCCTCTGTGTGTGTGTGTGTGTGCGTGTGTGTTTAGAGGGGGGATTTCATAAACAAAGAGGTGATGTAAAAAAAAATCTCAGTTCTCCTGCCCATCTGTTATTTCAGCTGCTGTTAGGGCTAGAGCTGTTTGGATAAGGCCAATAAGATAACAGGTGCAGGGCAACGGACAGACAATATCTCCTGATTTTCAACATAACAATGAGTTGGAGTTTATGAAGACTGAACATAGCTTTCCTAAGAGTGGTGGGCATATTATCCAAAGAGTTTATTTAACAGTACCGGAGCAACTAGTAATACTGGAAATAGACCAGAAGTCCCTGATGATTACATGAGTGCTCTGTCCATGAAGAGTGAGTGGCTGAAAGCTGAAAATTCTTGAGATACTCTATGTAATTGTTGTCTGTAAGCCTCTGGAATACTAATTGTTGGTAAAATTATATATATATATATATATGTATATATATATACATATATATATATAATATAATTAGTACTCTCTACTTAGTATTCTCTGGGGTTTCTCTAAAAAATAATATATATATATATATATATTAAGCTTATGAGTTATTTTATCCACCTCTAGATCAATGAATGTATATTTTTACTTTTTTGATGGTGCTTTTAAAACTGGAATATTATTATATGGGAAAAGTGGTTTTCTCAGGGAATACATAAAGGCACTAGATAAAGATAATATGCATTCCATGTACAATCACTTTGCTCTAAATACAGAAGCATGCTTTATATTAAGCAAATATGGTCACATTATGTAGTAAAGCAAGACATTTTCATCAGGCTACATCTCAGGTCACCGGGGGCAGATGGGCCCCCTCTGAAGCAGATGGAGGACTTGTGTGGAAAACATGAGAGGGGGAGAAGCACTTCTCTGTGTTGTGTTTTCCTTTGTGAAGTGTGTCATGAGTGATTTATAGCTGATAATATTTAAAGTACTCTGCTAATATTTGTGAAAGTTTTCTCCCTACCCCCTAGCTTGCCCTCCCTTCTCCCCACTCCTTTGCAAGAAATACAAACTTGAGGCAAACAAACACATGCTTCCCTCCTAGTTTCATCATGCACTAGCTGAGAACTCACAGGACAGTGTTCATTGCTCTGAACCCATTTCTAATTAGTCATGAACTTGACCACACTGTTTCCCTTCATGTTGACTGTAAAGCCAGGCATCAAGCACATAGCACTCAGCCTACCATATACAGTTGATAAATATTAACCCATTACTATAAATAATAGGTGATCAACATGTCCATTTACTGGAGTTATGCTTTGTCTTCCTAAGTGAGAGATGAGGTTACAGGTAATTGATGGAACCCTACTGTAGCTAACCTATGAAGATGTGACCAGCATCTGGATGTCACAGCATGATGGACAGTCTCCTTTCTGCCACATTATTTGGCAACTATAAAGTCCTCAGTGCCAGGGGGCCTCCTTGGTGGCCTAGGAGATAAAGTCTCGGTCTACCGCTAAGGCCTGAGTTGGATCCCCTATCAGGGAGGTGACCTATATGGAACAGCAGACCTCTCCTCTCTGCTCCGTGCAGCAGTGCATTTCAGTCATTCCACATGTTCTGTTTCCAACTCTGTCTCTGGTGAATCTTCTCACCTCCTGCAACTCTGGTCTACATCCCAGTTCTTCTGGGAAAAAATAAATAAAAGAAATCTAAAAAATATATATCATCAGTCCTAGGAACTTGGTCTTTTTCCAGATGGTAATTTCACCTTTTGAAAATTCTGGGTCCCAGAGGTTTGTCTTTGGTGAGGGACATTATCTATTTCCCCAAAACTTCCATCTGTGGTCTTGCTTCTTGCCAGTGATACCTAGAATAAGTTTGGAAATCTTCTTCCAACTGTGTGTTGAGCTACTGTATCTCAGGGAAGCCTGTCAACAGCTCTTCAAGACGAGATTGTTATCTCAAATATTCAGATGGGAAACTGGAAGCCCAGGACATCCCTTCCTAAAAAAAGGTATGCAAAAAGTGGTAGGCATCACTGCTATACATTAAAAAAGAGAGAAAGATTTTTTCATTAAGAATTTCTCCAGGGACCACCCTGGTGGCGCAGCAGGTTAAAGCACAGCACTAAGACACTAAGCCACTTCAGCATGAGTTCAATCCCCGCTCCAGAGGTGATCACATGGCACAGCAAACCTCTCCTGCTGCTCCCCTCAGCAGTGTACTTTGTCAGTCAGCCTGTTCTGTTCCACACTCTGTGTCTGGAGAAACCTCTCATCACCCCACATCTCTGACCTGTACCCCAGCTCTGGCTTCATAAATAAATAAATCTTTTTAAAATAATTAAAAAGAATTTCTCCAATGCAAAGTCAAAATGAATGCTAAATAAGTGCTCTTCTTGCAAGAACCAATGCAGAATAGATTTTTTTTTTTCTTTTCAAAAGGACACACTAGTGGCTTCTGAAGACTTGGCTGGAGGTCAGGACCTATTTCATGGTTGATCTAAAAGTAGGACATTTATGTCAAGTTGTTCCTTTCAGCTGCTCCTGAAGCCATCTGGAAAGTCTTACACTGTCACTGGAACTCCTTCCCCTTCTGTGCCTCCCACATACAGGCAGACCCTAAGCCTTCTCAACATTCTCCACCCAACAGTTTCCCCATCATTGTTTCTGCATCCTTACCTCCGCCAGCCTCTCAGCCTTGCTGGCTGAAGAAGCCTGTAGCTTGCCTTTCTGCCTCCAAGATCTTGCTTTCCCCTCCTGCCAACATCCTCAGAGTATTCTTAGAACCAAAGCCGCTCTCTAGCTCTGAGTTTCCCCATTTAGACCATGCATGGGGCTGCCAAGCTGGAGCTTCCTCTTTGCTCTTCAGATTAGTGTTTCGTTTCTTCATCCGAAGCACCATTATTTTTATCACTTCTGATTTTTGTCATAGAATTCTGAGGGTCATTTATTTCTTTTTCTTAAAGCTAACCTTCATTGCTATTTAATCATCAATCTTTTTAAGCTCATCTCAGATGAATTTCAGGCTAACCAACATTTTTAAATGGCAGTGTTTACATGGGATGCGATTGTGGGCTAGGCTAGAAGAGTGTTCTGTGCATCCTCTGCATCAATGTCTCAAGTGACAGGTCTACTCTAAGTGTGCGTTTCTGGCAAACAGAACACAAATACTGGCATTTCCAACTGGCATGATTTCTCAGTATACTTCTCAGAAATCTCACATCAATGGTTAACATGAATCACAGAGTAGAATCGTATGGTAAAATTTAGTTACTGATTGTGAAATTGCTATCATATGGATGATCATCTATACATAAAGAGACTAAGCACTCTTTGTGCCTTCACTTTCTGCACAGGATATTGTTCTAAGTGTTTTTGTGTAGTTAGCTATCATGACAGGTCAAATAAAACCCATCTGAAATCTTCAGGCAAATCTGTAGTTACTTTAACTTCTTAGGGTCTGTTTTTCCACTTCTTAATTAGAATAAATGATTCTCCATACTATTAAGAAGATCAAGTAAGAAATAGGAAGGCACTATAGGAGAAAAAAGGGAGAGAGCCACATTGCAATATGGAAATAACAGTTTGCTTCTTCCAGGAAAGCCTCTGTGG